CCCTGACACAGCTCTGCAAACCCGTGTTGGCAACCTGTACAATGACAGTGTTATGGCCCATTTAGGAAAGTCTTAAAGAACAGGAGGTACAGAGCTCTATGGACAGATTTGTTGTGGGGACAGGGGTCCAGCGACTCTCAAGCTGGTCCTAGTGGCATTAAAAGAAGAAGGGAAGTAACCCCAGAAAAGGACTTATTACCTCAAGTCCTAATGGAAGGGGATTCCCCTTCTAAACAATAACTTCCACACTCTCCCCTCCTCCCATCCCATCAATCATCACCAGATCTTCAATAAAGGGTAAGTGTCATGTATTCTATTCTTAGTAGAATAGTAATTGTGCATGTCTTCTTCAGTTTGTGTGTATTAAAATTAATATTTCATGTGGTAAAAATTTTTTTTTTCATACTTTGGGGTGTCAGGACGGATTAATTTGATTTCCATTATTTCTTATGGGGAAAATTAATTTGGCTAACGATAATTTCACCTTACGATGAGCTCTCAGGAAAGGATTAATATCGTAAGGCAGGGGTTCACTGTATTATTACAATATACAGTACATTACTGTATGAGCATTTAAGAATATACCAGAAATGTTATACGTAAATGGTTCAAAGGTGACATTAAAACAATATCAAAGATGGTTGACACAAGCCCACTACCATTATAGTATATTCCTCACTTAGCAACAAATTCATTTACTGACGTGGTCTTAGGAATGGAAATCCGTCGTTAAGTGAGGAGAGTCTGTATTGTAATAAACTGAATGGAGAGGCTGTAGTACAATTTTAGATGTGTATTAATACTTTAACACTCACTCTGTCCAGACATAGATCTGTGTCTTCACTGCTTGCACTTCAATTATTTTGAAAAAAAAAATTGTTTTAATAAAGAGGGCAATTTTCTGTGTGTAATAAGACCAAAAAAAAAATTTTAGGGTCAGTACTTACTGAGATATAAGGCCACAAATTTGGCGCTGAATGCTCATCTGACTGCAATATGGAGTCCTGCCACTTGCAGAAATATTGCCGATATATCTTTTTTTCTCATTTTTATTTTATGTAATTTTTACGTTCTGACCCCACAGTGCATACGCTGAGGATGTTATCAACCAAGGCATGAGCCATGACTGCTTGTGTATTAAAAAAATTTTAGATAGGTTGATATGCTGCTTTTTTCAGACCTTCAGTACTGGGGATAGCTGTGCTTCACTTATTCAAATTTTATGTTTACAGACGAAGTAAGCACACAGTGGTGGCTTATAAGGATGCCATTTATGTCTTTGGAGGCGACAATGGCAAATGGATGCTGAATGATCTGTTGCGCTTTGATGTTAAAGAGAAGTCCTGGGGGCGAGCATTTTCCACAGGCTCTCCTCCTGCTCCTCGTTACCATCACTCAGCAGTGGTAAGGCAAATTTATTGTTTTTAATCCTTTTAAATACAGCTGACTATTTGATAACATTGTACTAGTATCATCTGACTTATGACCAAGCTTGGTCATAAGTCAAAAGCTTGGTCGTAAGTCAAAATGGATGCAAGTTGAACCTTGGAAAATTGCAGACATACTGGGTAGGGCATAATGTTAAATCTTTGCTATACAAAGTACCTACATAGTATCGTATGTTACTTTCTACTAAATATTTTACTACTGTATATTAACATCACAGTTATTGTAATGATTTTATTTTCATGTTTTATTTTTGTATTTCATTTTTTACTTTACTTTTTATGCTTTTAGTACTGTATTTTATACTCTAAGGTTTAGGAGAAACACACTGTACAACACAAACAGTTGTTTATTTCCAAGAACATTTGCATATAAAACAGTGTGTTTGAATTCACTTCAAATGTTAGAAACTGAAAACATTCGTTATAGGAGGTGGAGACTGAATGGTGGAGGGGTGGGGGCAGGAGCAGGAGGCTGGTGCTGGGAGGTGGAGGATGCTGGGTGGTGGAGAGGTGTGGGGAAAGGAGGCTGACAGTAACAAGCCAGTGTGTGGGTGGCAGTGTCGGTGGCCCGTTGTGGGTGGTAGTGTAAGTGGTGGGTGAGTGTGCGGTTGGTGATGTTGGCAGTAGTGAAGGTGGTGGGTGGCTAGGTGTGTGGATGGCATGTTAGGGTGTGTAGGCCATGAAAGCATGGGTAAGGGGTGGGCATGGAGTTGTAGGAATGGGGCTATGTGGGCTTGAAGCTGGGGGGGAGTGGTATGAGTAAAAGCATGGGTAAGGTGTAGGAGTGGGGCTGTGGGTAAGTGTAATGAGTGAAAGCATGGGTAAGGTATGGGAGTGGGGCCATGTGGACTTGAAGCTGTGGGTGTGGTGTGGGTGAAGAATGTGGTTGTTAGTGGTTCGGTGTGGGTATTGATTGTATGATGGATAACTAGGTGGATGACTGTGCAGTTAGTGTTGTTGGCATAAATGGGGGTAGTGGGTGATAAGTCGATTAGATATGTGGACAGTGTGTTAGAGCGAAGGTCAGGTAAAGTGTGGGCAGGAGCTCATGGGGGGAATGGTGTAGGTGAGGGTGTGGAGATGGACAAAGTGTGGTCTTGAAATAGTAGGGAAATGTAGCTGTGAGAGAATGGTGTAGGTGTGTGGCTGTGGGGTTATTGCTTGTGTGGGGGTTGGTTATTGGTTGGGATGGTGTAGGTGAAGGCATATGGCTGTGGGTAAATTATAAGGGTGGGTGGTATGAGTCGGGGTTGCTGGGTTTGTAGGGAGAGTATGTGGCCACTGAGGGGAAGGGAAGGGTAAATGAACTGTTTTGATGTGGGCAGAGGTGCGTGGGTGAGATATGGTACTGGTTGTGTATGAATGGAGTGCTGGGCCTTACTGCATAGCCTCACTGACAGATGGAGGAGAAACAACCAGGTGCTCTAACCTTCATCCACCATGCCCAGTGCCAACAATTATATCCCAGGATCTTGTTGGGGTTTCTGATAACAATAGGTGTATCTCTGATGGAGATGCCCTCTTGTCTTTTATAGTTGTTGCAGAACATCCGATAGTGCTGATGAGGATTTTGTGTAGGTTGGTCGTGATTCTCCATTTCTTCTCCCAGTTTGCTGTTTTTCATAGTTCTGTATTCATTTTTTCTGTTACCCTATCATGCTTATGTTTTCTCATAATGGGGGTGGATGTTACTACATGGATAACATCATCAGCAAATTGGGTAATGATAGTATCACTGAACTCGGGTTGAGGGAAATTGTTTACATATACAGTGGTACATTGAATTACGAGTTTAATTCATTCTGTGACCCAGCTCGTAACTCAAAGAGGAAGAAGAACAACAAATAATGGAAGAAGTACAAAAGAAGTTCATGGTAGAGGGGTTAACTGGTGTGTTTGTCTGTGTGTTTACATTCTTGGTGTCTCTTGTGGCAGCTTAATTAAGAAATGATTATACTCAGTGAACAGTGTATGTTGATGGTGATAATAACAATTAATAATAATAATAATAAAACAATTGCTCTGGAATGCTTTAAATTTCATACGTATTTTGTATAGGTTTGGTAGCTGATATTTAAAGCATTCCAGAGCAATTATTATTATTATTATTGTTATTATTATTATATATATTATTATTATTATTATTATTAATTATTATTATAAATTATTATTATTATTATTATCACCACCACTGCCATTGACATACCTTGTTCACTGAGTTTAATCATTTCTTAATTAACCCTTTCAGGGTTTCGGCCATACTAGTTCGGCTTATGCACCATGACGTACTAGTATGCCTAAATTCTAGCACCCTCAAATCTAGTGAGAGAAAGCTGGTAGGCCTACATATGAAAGAATGGGTCTATGTGGTCAGTGTGCGCAGTATAAAAAAAAATCCTGCAGCACACAGTACGTAATGAGAAAAAAAAACTTTGACCGTGTTTTTGGATTAAAACAGCGACTTTGCACTGTATTTTTGTATGGTATTTATTTTTGTATTCTAGTTTTTCTGGTCTCATTTTATAGAATGGAAGACATATTACAGAAATTGAGATGGTTTTGGCTGGTTTTACAATGAAAAGTTATCTGAAATTGAGCTCAAAGTAGCAGAAATGTTCGATTTTTATCAAGTTCAAAAGTAACAAATCATGCTATGCGTCCAATACACGTCAACATGGTGATCTAATATTCTTTCACAAGTGTGCCGATATTATTTATACATTTTACACTAAATGCAGATAGTCGCATAACAGTAAATCTTCTAATTTTTTTGTGAGAATAAAATTCAAAGTGCATAAGCAAAGAGAATATAAGGGGGCATGGGGACGTGACTAATGAGCAGAGGAAAATTGTTATTTTAGTGCCAGGAATGTCTTTCTTGCTTATTCCAGACCCTATTTGGAAATGGCATCTTTTGAAATTTGTGTGAGATTGGCAAAATTGTAAATTCTGACTCTGTATTGGATAGTTGAAATCGGTAAAATGGATGATTTCTTGTACTCATTTCGATAGAAAAAAATGGAGTTCTAGCGAAATATTTATGATTTATGATTCAAGGCAGGTGAAATTGCCGACCTAGAAAATGTACAGAGAACTTTCAACGGCGCCATACGGGATAAACTCAATTATTGGGAGCGCTTGAGGTTCCTAACCTGTAATCCCTGGAACGCAGGAGGGAGAGATACATGATTATATACACCTGGAAAATCCCTAGGGGACTAGTACCGAACTTGCACACGAAAATCACCACTACGAAAGCAAAAGACTTGGCAGACGATGCACCATCCCCCCAATGAAAAGCAGGGTGTCACTAGCACGTTAAGAGACCATACAATAAGTGTCAGGGGCCCGAGACTGTTCAACTGCCTCCAGCAACATAAGGGGATTTACCAACAGACCCCTGGCAGTCTTCAAGCTGGCACTGGACAAGCACCTAAAGTCAGTTCCGGATCAGCCGGGCTGTGGTCGTTATGTTGGTTTGCGTGCAGCCAGCAGCAACAGCCTGGTTGATCAGGCTCTGATCCACCAGGAGGCTGGTCTCAGAACGGGCCGCGGGGCGTTGACCCCGGAACTCTCTCCAGTAACTCCAGGTAAACTAGTCACTAGAATTGGCCGAAATAGGGCTCAAAGTGGTTCAAAATCACCGATCGAAAACATCGTCAAGACCGCTATTTCGCAAGAGCATAATTCCGTAAGTTTTCCATCAAATTTCATACTTTTGGTGTCATTAGATCAGGAAAAGATCTCTATTTTTCATAAGAAAAAAATTTTTTTTTTTTTTAAATTTGCGGGACCCTGAGAAACAAGTCCTGGAGACTGGCCTTGTGAATCCTGAGAGGGTTAAGCTACCATGAGAGGACACAAGAATGTAAACACACAGACAAAGCACACCAGCTAACCCCTCTACTGTGAACTTCTTTTGTATTCTTTCATATTTACTTTGTTTTTTCCTCTTCCAGTGCTGCTGCACTTCTAGTTACCTTGTACTATGGGTGCACAATAGCTAGAAATGCAGCAGCACTTGGAAGAGGAAAAACAAAAGAAAATGGAGAAATACAAAAGAAGTTCACAGTAGAGGGGTTAGCTGGTGTGTTCGTCTGTGTGTTTACATTTTGGTGTCTCTCCATGGCAGCTTAATCCTTTGACTGTCGCAGGCCCCTTTCTGAAACTGTCCATTCTATGACACAAATGTATTCGAAAAAAAATGATTTTTTCTTATGAAAATGTTAAGATTATTTTTCTGAGTGTTTTAGTCCAAAAAAATTTTTTTGCCATCAGTACTTACCGAGATATAGAGCTGTGAAGTTTGCAGAAAATGAGCCGCATATGGCAACAGTGGCGACTGCCGCTCACCCGGTAAACTTTAGTTTACTTGTATTTGAAAGTTTTTTGTTTTTTTCACTATTTTATTTTTTCACATAACTTTATGTGGCCTGTGAGACCAAAAGTAAGTGCAATGTACATATATACACTCGTTGTATACAACACAATAAGCACACAAACATAATTATCAATATATTGTTTACAAAACTTATTTACAAAAACAAACAATACAAAAAATTGTTTATTACTATTGTTCTATAATATATATACCAATGTACAGTCACCGAACATATTCCTAGAAGTTCTGCAGCTTGTGGAACTCTGTGAAACATGGTGTCATACACAATGGTGTTTTACACTCCTCACACATAACACCAGTGTGTGTGCATTTTTGTGAACTTTTTTTTTTATGTGCAAAGACAAAACACCTCGTCTGAGCAGCTTTCTGCAAAGTATTAGCAGGCAGTTGTGTTATGTAGTTATCCTAGGTAAATGGTCGTGTGTCATCATTCCTTCCTTCCTACTTTCCTGCATTCCTTTCTTGCCTTCCTTTCCTGCATTCCTTTCCTTCATTCCTTTCCTGCATTCCTTTCCTTCATTCCTTTCCTGCATTCATTTCCTTCATTCCTTTCC